AACACAGGGCACCTTCTCCCTGCGATGCTCCTGTCACAAGGGGAGCTGGCCCTTTGAGGGGATTATGGCTCTTCTAAGTGTAGCCCACCTCCCCTAGTGGAGAGAGAGGATAATTACATGCTGGGGGAGCATGGGATTTAGAACCAGACTTGTTGGGAGGGGGTAGGAAGGCAGCCTGAATTCAGGGAGAGCAGATGTGGGATTGAGTGCTCCATTAAAGAGCAGACAGAACAGCCAAGGAGGAGGCCTAGGCTGTTCTCCAAAGGTTGTAGGTGGGCCTGGGGTAGATGACAGGGAGAAGGGCCTGCTAGAAGAACTGCAGCAGGGATGGGACTAAGACAGGGGTGGGCAAACTACAGGCTGCGGGCTGGATCCGGTGCCTCAGGGCTTTGGATCCGGCCCGCAGGATTGCCACTCCCGTGGAGCCGCGGACCCCGCGCCACTTCAGAAAGCAGCTGGCACCACGTCCCTGTGGCCCCTGGGGGAGGGGGGACAGAGGGCTGAGCGCACTGCCCTTGCTTGTGGGTACCTCCCCCGAAGCTCCCATTGGCCGCGGTTCCCCATTCCCGGCCAATGGGAGCTTCGGGGGAGGTACCCACTCGCTCAGCCCTCTTCCCCGGGGGCCACAGCTCGCTCAGCCCTCTTCCCCGGGCCCGCGGTGCCAGCTGCTTCCCGAAGCGGTGCGGGGTCCACGGCGCCACGGGAGTAGCAATCCCGTGAGCCGGATCCAAAGCCCCGAGGGGCTGGATCCGGCCCACTCCAGGTAAGCGGTTCTGGGCCAGAGCCTGCACCCCAAACCCCTCCTGCACCCTGCCCCCCCACCCGCCGCCCAGAGCCTCCTGCCTGCACCCAAGCCCCCTGCTGCACCCCACACCTCTCCTGCACCCCAACCCCCTGCCCTGAGCCCCCTCCTACATCCTGCACCCCTCTTCTGCTCCAACCCCTTGCCCTGAGCCCCTTCCTGCACCCAACCCACTGCCCCAGCCCTACATTCATGGCCCTGCATGCAATTTCCCCACCTAGATGTGGCCCTCGAGACAAAAAGTTTGCCCACCCCTGGACTAAGAACCTCTGCATCAAGAGTGTGAGCCAATTAGGAAGGCTTGGTGGGGGAGAGATCTGTGGTTTGAACTCTGGTTTATTAATGTAGACTCCTGAAAAGGAAAGGATTAGTGAGAAAACATCTGCTGTCTGAGATCTGATGAACTAGAGAAGGGGAAACTGAGGCAGGGCCCAAAACCACATTGGGCAAGTCCTGCTGTAGTAACAAGGTTAGAAACAGGACAAGTGACAATCTGCCTTAACCAGCATCTTCCTTAAAAGATCACTGTCACATACTTACAGGATTGCTCAGGCACTCAGAGTTGGAAGAGCAAGCCTGACCACAGCCTAATCCCTGTTACCTCTTCAGAGGTTCTAAAGCCCTTAATTCCCCTTTCACCAGAATTGATATGCCTCGTAATTGTCATAAATACAAAAGCTCCAGGCAATCAATTCTCCAGACCCTTGTTTTAAAATATCCATCTGCCCTGTGATGTGGAATCCCTTGTATGTGGAAGGAAATCCTTTCACGCACTGTCAGCTTGAGTTGTAGAGATCAGAGATCCCAGCTGCTGTGGTTCCCATGAATGCAAGACTTTTATTTCTACCTTACTTCTATGCCCCCTAGAGGTCACCCTGAATAATGGCTCTAGATGTTCACAACTAACACCAGACTGCATGCTTGTAGGGGTTGGAAGGATAGTGCAGTTGCCCGGAACTCAGGCCTGGGTTCAACTCCACCTGAGCCACAGACTTCCTATGTGACCTTGGGCAAATCCACACTTAAGCTTCTTTGGCGTAGCTATGTCAGTGAGGGGTGACTTTTTTGCTGACAGCTAGGTTGGATAAGTGTAGAGGTTGTTACACCTGCAAGAGGACTGTTCTGCCAGTATGCAGTCTATCCTGGGAGGGTTTGCTGTTATAGCTGTGTTGTCAAACCTTAAGTTTAGATAAGGCCTTAACTTGCCCTGTGCCTCAGTTCTCTGTCTGTAAAACAGGGATAATGTTCCCATCATTCACTTTCCTGCGAGGTTAAAGCCCATTGATCTGTGAGGTACTCAATTGCAAGTTATGTTAGTATCGAGATTGAAAACCCCTGCCATAGAGCAAACTGGGGGTCACGAGGTTATTACATGGGGGGGTTCGTGAGCTGTCAGCCTCCACCCCAAACCCTGCTTTGCCTCCAGCATTTATAATGGTGTTAAATATATTAAAAAGTGTTTTTAATTTATAAGAGGGAGGGTCGCACTCAGAGACTTGCTATGTGAAAGGGGTCACCAGTAAAAAAGTTTGAGCCTCTGCTCTATGGGACCGTGTAAAAGCTGTTCAGCTATCACGTACCCTTTAGAAACCAATCAGTGGACAACCTGGGGCTGTCCTATCCTCTCCTCCATTTAGCAACAGGTTTTGTGTGTATATTAACTATCAGTTGTGATACCCTTTCCTTTCTGTGCTCAGGCATATGTGGTACTTGGGCAATTCCTGGTTCTGAAGAAAGATGAAGAACTTTTCCGGGAATGGCTGAAAGACACGTGTGGAGCCAACGCCAAGCAATCCAGAGACTGTTCTGGCTGCCTGCGGGAGTGGTGCGATGCCTTCTTGTGAATATTGGCTATTGTTGCCTCCGCACCAGCAGTCACTATTATGGCTTTCATAGTTAGCAGGGGGGAAAAAAATCTTCCAAACCCTTCCACTTTGTACCCAATCCAAAGGGCAGAATGAAATTAATAATTTATGGAAACCCCGTGGCATTTAGAATGTCTATTTACATGGCTCTGATTTCTAGCCAGAAAGAAAATAATTGTTCCTAGAACCTGCCGTTAATGTAACTGACAAGATTTCTTCTGGGGAAAGGGGGGGTAATGTTCTATTCTACACCTTTGTTAGATCTGTGTTTGGATTTTCTAGATACAAGGTTCCTCACTGTTTCAGACCAGCTAACTCCTAAAGCCTTAATAATCCGCATGCTTGTAAAGGGGAGCGCTTCTATTGTCTTAATTCGAACTCTCATTGATATGCAGCTTGCTCACTGTTAGTTTAAAAAAAAGTTGTGGTTTTAAGCTCATTCTGGCTTATTTCTGGAGCAGTTATTTGTGGACCCTCCAGATTGTTTTATGCCACTTGGCTTTCTTTGGAAAAGTAACAGTGGAAGAAAACATTGTAAAGTTTTTTTTAAAAACAATAAAAATCAGCTGTGTTAATATTCCAGAGTTGCTCTTGGTTTAACCTGTTTCCTAGGGGATCTGGGAGATGGTGGAGCAGATGTAGATGGGGTGTTGTTTGCAGAAGGGCATAGCACTATGAAGGTGGGGCACATGCTCTTGGAGGCTTAGATCTGGGCTGGAGAACAGGCTGCTGGGAGCTGGTGTTGAAAATCTACTCTGAGCCTGTGAAGGACCTCTGTCCTGCTTACATTTCCCTGAGCTTGTTAGAGGTACTGGCCATTTAAGACATTGTGTTTCTAGCCTTTCAGTTCAGCTCCAACTCTCCTTAAATCCTTATGTCACCTGGTAGCAGGACCCCAGGGTGTCAGGTCTTCCTCCAGCTTGTGGAGTGCAAGAGAAGGGATACCTGTTTTGACTGGCAGGTTTCCCCCAGCTGTGTTACCCTAGTCCTTGGGGTTTCTGTTCCGGCACCTTGGGCAACTTCCTGCCAGTTTGCTGCCTGACACAAGGTAGTCCTCAGCCTGTCAGACAGCTGTGCCCCCTGCCTGGGATGCAGCCCATTATCCAAATGTTGCTGGTCACCCACTTAGCTGGAGTTGGGGAGATAGCTATTCTGCCCCTTAGCCCCTTAGTGGCTGTGACAATGGGGTTTATATACCCCATCACAGAAGGCTTGTCCCATTTTTGAGGGGGGCAGGCTGTGAACCAGTAACTTGCCAGACTTCATCTGGTGATAGCAATGGTAGAAGCCAAAGTAGTACTGAAAGGGCTCACATACCATTGTTATCTAAGCCTGCTTGGAGCTGTCACATCTCCCTATGGCTGAATATTACACTGGAAATGCACATTCCACGTATGGGCAAATTCCATGGGGCAGAAAAATCTTATCACAAGAAAGTGTCTTGGCAGCCAAGAGCCACTCATTGTGTTGGGAAGATTGGCAGAAGCACTGGCCAACATAATCACTTCTACTCTGCAGGTGCTCAATCCTCAGGTGGTGAGGATGGGCCGTGGTACCTAAGGTAGTTCAGGCAGCTCACGTAGGGGACAGGCTTAGAACTTAAAACTACCTTGGCAAATTAAAGTATTCATCTGAAATCAAGACAAAATTCAGTAAAGGCAAGTGCAAAGTATGCTTAGGAAGTAAAAACCAAATGAACCAATACATGACAGGGAAGAGCTGGCTAGGTGGTTGTACTGCTGAAAAGGAGCTGGAGATGAGAGCTGATTACAAATTGGACATGAGTCAACAATGTGATGCAGCTGCAAAAAAGTCTTAATATTCTGGGGTGTTAGCAGGAGTGTTGTATGGGAGGTAATTGTCCTGCTCTACTTCACACTGATGAGGCCTCAGCTGCAGTACCATACTCAATTGTGGGTGCCACAGCTTAGGAACGATGTGGACAAACTGGAGAGAGTCCAAAGTCTTAGAAAACCTATGAGGAAAGATTTTAAAAACTGGGCATATTTAGTTTTAAGAAGCAGGGGACTGTAATCAAGCACACAGGGAATCTCAGCTAGCTGTAGCTATGTAGGGCTCATGACATGGGGTGAAGTGGGGCTGATTCTGGTCCCTAGAAGGAAGCAGCTTGCAGGGGGCTCTAGGGGTGTATGTAGGGTGCTTAAGGCACCTGGGGTACAGAGGCCCTGAGGGGACCCAGGTAGGGTGGGGGACAGCAGCGCGTGAGGGGAAGGGATGGGTGGGGCTCAATCCCCTAGAGTGGGGTCCCCCTGGCGGCCTAGAGGAGGCGGGCCCGTCTCTATGGCAACAGGACGCCCCGCCCTTCAGCCCATATGCGAGCCCCACGCGGAGGCGGCGCTCATTCCGCGGCCGGGATGCTGCAGCTGCTGCTGGTCGGGCTCCTGCTGCCCGCTGCGCTGGTGGCCGCTCCGGGGGCCGGGGCGCCGCGGGAGCTGGAGGCCGGCCTGGACCCTGCGGCCCTGGAGGCGGCTCGCTTCGCCCTGGAGAGCTACAGCCGGGCAGCGGAGCAGCGCGGGGGGCCGGCCCGGCTGGGGGCTATCCGGCGGGCGCAGGCCCAGGTGAGGGGCCGGGGTACGGGGCTGGGCTGTGGGTAGGGATTGGGCCGGGCCGGGTTGAGCGCGGTGCGCGTGCAGGGCCAGGGCCGGACCGGGCCGGGGGTGTCCGGCGTCCGGCAGCCTGGCTGGGGATGGGGAGAACGGACTGTGGGTCCGTGTTTGCAGTCACGGACCGGGTGATATGAGCCAGGCAGGGGAGTGATCTGGTTTGTGCTGCGGCGCAGAAGGACGGCAAGCTGCATCATATGGCCACGGCCTCGGCTGCGTAGGGGTTTGGACTAGGCAGGGTACAGGGCAGAGGGGCTGGGGGCATGGACTGGGTTCTAGTGATGGAGGTGGATGGGGTATGGACTGAGTTATATAGATCAGGGCGTGACGGTGGGGTGCGTAGGGACAGGCTGGGACATATGGACTGGAGTATAGTGTACAAGGGCTAGTGGGGTCTGGGCTGGGTTATGTGGACTGCAGTGGGGGGCACAGTGTGTGTTATACGGCTAAAGGCTCTGGCTTGAGTTGTAGACTTGAAGGTCTACACATTGATCATGCAGGGCAAAGGGGTATATTGGGGTACATGGACTGGGATACAGGGCAAAGGGCTGGGGGGCATGGACTGGGTTACATGGATTTGGCAATGACAAAAGGAATAGGGATTGCAGCTTGAGGCCTGGGCCTGGTCTAGCTAGAAAATTAGGTCATCTTAACTACGTGGATCAGGGGTGTGACAAATCCACGCCCTAAGTTTCTGTGTAGCCCACACTAGGTCGACAGAAGAATTCTTCCATCAACCTAGTTACCGCTTCTTAGGGAGGTGGATTACCTACACCGATGGGAGAACCCCATCGGCATAGGTAGTGTCTACCCTGAAGCGCTACAGTGGCACATCTGTACTGCTGTCGTGTTTTAAATGTAGACAGGCCCTGAGGTAAATGGACCCTTGGGGTTGTAGTTGATATGCTGGGGTATAGCCTGGCCTATACGAGGGTATGGTCTGGGGATAAAGACTAGAATGTACAGTAAAAGCGCTGCTGGTGTCATTTGAGTTCTATGGACTGAGTGAGGGGTTATAGACAGGTGTACAGGGCAAAAGGACTGTGGGAGATGGGGATTGGGTTATATGGACTAGATAAGGGGCTGTGGACTAGATTATGTGAACTGGGGCCGTAAACTGGGTTATGTGGACTGGGAGGAATTACTAATTTGTATGATTACTTATGTATGTTTCTAAGGGCAGTTACCACCCTGTGAATCTGACTTTCCTTCCTAGTACAATAACGGGAAGGAAACAATTGGAACCTCTGTAGAGTAACAGATTTGTGAGCAAAAGGTTTATAAAGAATCATCCTGCCCGGATAAATGCGATCATTTCCATAGCTAAACAAATGGACACCCGGAGAATCCTGCCCTAGGTTGGAATGTTACAAAAAACACTTGCTGCAGTTTCTCGCAACATCCGAATTGAAAAATTAATTCAATTTGGCTTGGATCAGAGCGCAGTCATTTGGGCTGGACGTTCTCTAAGAGACTAAGGAGATAAACAGGAAGGTGTTCGAGTTGGGGAGGTGCCTAATTAGTACCATAGGGCCTGGCTCTATTTAACTTGATGATTCAGGAGAAATAGCACATGAACGAAACTTGCAGAAGATTCTAATAGTGGGAGCAGCTGGAAATACTGTTGAGAACAGAAATAATACAAAACACTCATTCATGTTAGAAAAATGAGCTTTTTCATGGAGATCTGCAGCTAACACGTGAGAAAAAATTAATCTGAAACCCAGATACTCTAATGGAGGGGGAGCTAATCTGATGCATCAGGCAAAGTCTTCAGTTGAGATAGGAAAGTATGAATGCCATTGTACAAGGCACTGGCAAGGCGTCATCTGAAATGCCGTGTTCCATTCTGTTCTGGTCACCCATGTTCAACAAAGATGAATTCAAATTGGCCCGGTACAGAGAAGGGCTCCCAGGCTGATGATCAGGGAATGGAGAGCTGATTTTAGGAGAGGAGACTGAAAGAGCTGGATTAGTTTAGCCTGGCCAGGCGAAGGCTGAGAGAGGATCTGGTTGCTCTGTCTAGGTACAGTGGGGGAGACCCCACGGAGGGAGAAGAGCTATTGAAGCTAAAGGACAATGTTGGCAGAAGAATAAATGGGGATAAACTGGCCAGGAATCAACTGAGGCTGGAAATGAGAAGAAGGTTTGTGCCCATCCGAGGAGGGAGGGTCTGGAATACCTCCCCATAGGAGCAGTGCGGGGCAAACAACCCAGCTACACCTCTACCTCGATATAACATGAACCGATATAACACGAATTCGGATATAACGTGGTAAAGCAGTGCTCCGGGGGGTGGGGTGCTGCGCACTCCGGTGGATCAAAGCAAGTTCAATATAACACGGTTTCACCTCTAACGCGGTAAGATTTTTTGGCTCCCGAGGACAGCGTTCTATCAAGGTAGAGCTGTAGTTTGAGGATGGAGCTGGATAAGTTTTGGACTGGATTCTATGATGGGGCGTTGCCTGTGATAGTGGGGACTGGACTTGATAACCCAGTAGGTCCCTTCCAGTCCTACGTTTCTATTGACTTAAAAGCTGATAAAAGAAAATACATGTTTCACACACTCTGTCGTGACCCTTTGGAACTACTTGCCTCAGGAAGTCATTGATGTCAAGAACTTAGCAAGATTCAAAAAGGGATTGGCCATTTATATGGATATCAGGAATATTCACAGGTGTCCTACATAATGATAACAATTTTGGAAGGGGTATAAAACCCTGTGCTTTAGGGCTTAAGCTGATCTCTGTTAGAGACCAGGGTGAGAGCTAATGGAGTGGAGGGGAGGTTATCCCATATCTTCATACTGTGGGGTTCTTGTACCTTCCTCTGAAGCATCTGGCCACTGTCAGAAACAGGATTTTAACTAGACAGACTTTGGGTCTGATCCAGTCTGGCGATTCCTGTGCAAGTTTCTCTTGCAGGGTAGCCCTGGGAAGACACCCTTCCCCCCCTCCCATCCTCTGCAATCTTGCACTCCATTCTAGATCCCTCAGCGCCAGAGGTTTCCTATTCCAGAGCAGAGAGGGCATAGTGTCCTGGGGCTGTGCACGAGGCTGCCCGGCACTAGGTATAACATATGTTCTGCTTCCCATGGCCCCCTGTGGGTCCTGGAAGCTGAGAGTAGCTAGCGTGCAGAGAGCTCCAGCCTCGTCCTTTGCTCTGGGGGCTGGAAGCAGAGTCAGTGCGGAGCCCTCACTCCAGCTCTACCCTGACTGGCACAGGAGATATTCTCAAGGGGCAGTTTACTTCTATGCCAGGGCTCCTAGGAGCTACACTAATACAACTACTAACTTTAAGATCCCTTTGCAGTGCCAGAGTGGTGTGACTGAGGATTCAGACCTGCTATTCCGGATTTGTAACCAGCAGGAATTAATTAACATAATTAACAATATGTAGCATCTTTCCACTTACGAAGCCCTGTACAAAAGTACGTGATTAACCCTTCCAGATGCTGGTAAATAAGAAGATGTAATAATTAATCCACACACTTCGCACATTACAAATAAACCAGTTATCGGAACTCAAAATAGGGCAAAGCATTCTAAGCTAGCAGGAGACTCGAGAGACGAGGAAATCCTATTAGGGTATGTCTGCACTGCAGCGGGAGGTGTAACTCCCAGCCCAGGCAGACGTGCACAGGCTAGCTCTGCTTGAACAAGCGTGCCATAAATAGTAGCGAGTCTGCGGGGGCACGGGCAGTGGTTTGGGCTTGCTGCCCAAGTCCAATCCTGTTGGAGATCCTAGGTATGTACTCAAGCGATGGCTTGGACTAGCCACTTGGGTACGTTCCTAGGATCTCAGATGGGCTTGCATTCTGGTGGCTAGCCATTTTTATCATGCTAGGGCACGTACACCTACCCCCACTGGGAATTACACCTCCCAGCTGCAGCATAGACACACCCTTAGAGAGAACTTGCTAATGGACCTTCATGTTCCCCTGTTAGTCACAGCTAGGCCAGCACAGGACTGTCTTCTCGAGATAACCCAGTTATTGTCTTTACATCCCTATGTGTTGGTACATTCCATTTTACTTACGTCTTTGCATTACTGGTCGGAACAATGAGGAATAGACCAGGCAGTTTCACTCTTGTTTCTAGTCAATTTTGCTTTTCAAGTTTGGCTAGCATATTGGAGGCTGGTCTAAAAGTTACGTTCCAATTCAACCACACGTTATTGGGCTAGATGCAGGAATCACTGGGTGAAATTCTCTGTCCTGTGTCAGGCTCCTGCCTGATCATAGTGGTCCCCTCCTGGCTTAAAATCTGCAAATTTAGCACAGATCTACCCTCAAACTTCAGACTAGTGCTGGGAGATCTTTGTTTTTATAAAGAACTGCTTCTGGTAGATTACTTTCTGATTGCATGTTACCTCTGTATGTAGCATCGATGAGACCAGTACAGGAGTAAATCGCCCAATTGTGGGGGCCACATTTTAGAAAGAATGTTGAAAAATTGGAGAGGGTGCTGAGAAGAGGGCTGGGAAAAAATGCCTGACAGTGAGAAACTTAAGGAGTGCTGCCTGTTTAGCTTCTCAAAATTATCAAAAGGTGACTTGATCCTAGTGTGAAAGTACCCTCACAGGGAGAAAATCCTAGGTACTAAAGGGCTCTTTAGTGGAGAAAGGCAGAACAAGAACCAGTGGCTGAAGTTAAAACCAGACACATTGCCATTAAAAATAAGATGCACATTTTTACCAATTAGGGATTAACCCTCAGAACAAACTCTCAAGGGAAGTGGTGGGTTCCCCATCTCTTGATGTCTGTGAATCCAGACCTGGCTGCCTTTCTGGAAGGTGTTTTAGCCAAACACAAGTTATTGGGCTTAACACAGGGGTGACTGTGGGATATTCTCTGAATTGTGCTATACGGGAAGTCAGAGTAGATGATCTAATGGTCATGCTTTATAAATGCTTTATATTCGCCTGTATAAGAAATAAGCTATGAAATCTGAACCCAAGTTTGTCCCAACAAGATCCCTGTAGCATCCTTTGCTGTAGAGATGAGCCAGAACTTGGCTGTAATGAATATAGAGGGGAATCTTTATCCAGGCTGCTGGACACAGGCAAACTCTGGTGTGCTGTCTTCACCAGTTCCCCATTTATTGTCACTGAATGTTAAGTTCTAGGCTGGGGTCTGCAGTATTGGAGCAGACGGTGCCATGCTCTGCCTACCCGAGAACTGTGCTCTGTCTGCAGGTGGTGAATGGGATCAAGTACTATCTGGATGTGACCCTGCTGAAGCCACCGTGTAGCCAGCACCGATTCACAAACCAGGATGCTGCTATCTGTGAAAATTCAGTGGAGCCGGAGCAAATAGTAAGGACCAGGTGCTGGGTTGTGGTTTTGTTTTGGGTCTGTCACAGATCCACCCTCTTGATGCAACACCCCCAGCTTTGGCACAGTCTCTTGGAGGAACCCCCTCAGTGCACCAGATCCCCAACGGGGGATCTCACCGCCTCTGTAGACTGAACCTGTGGGGTTCCAGCACTCCTGCTTCACGCTGTGAGCTCTCTTCAGTGAGTCCAGCTGAGAGAGACTCCTGGTAGGGACTTGTTAATGTACCTAGCCCAGCCTTTGCAGTGACACTCAAACAGTGTTGTCAAAACAGTCGGGTTTATTAGTCAGCTGGAACACCGCGTAGGCCGTCCTTAGGTGAGCACAGAGAAATGAAGGTCAAAGCCTAGTCCCGGTCCATTCTGGCCAGCGCAGAGCCCAGCAAGCTGTAGCGAACGCCAGGTTCAGGCTGTCTCTCTCTGTCTGATGTCCTTGATCAGCTCCAAGGTAAGAGGCCAGACTCCATCCAGCAGCCAGTTCCTATCCCCCCACCTCCCACCTGCCAAGTCTTTTGTTCTGGAGCTGGGTGATCTTGCTCAGCTTCCCTGCTGAGAGGTGGGGAAATCCATCTCCATCTGGGTCATTGGTTGTTAGGTGTCAGTGTCCTGGTGACTGGATTTGCCACTGGCTTCTCGGATTCTCCATTGATACGGGGTCACCCTCGGCCAGTCCTTTTTAATGACCCATTCAGGCTCAGACAGACAGTCCTTTCCCCCCCCCCCCCCCCCCCCCCCTGGGCCCCCATACTAAATGTAGAGGAAACCGAGGCACACATAGGGGCCATAAAAATATTACGGAAAAATCCTGTTTCATCACAGGGTCCACGTAATCAGATCCTCCCACTCTTAATAGGTCAATTAAACTGGTGTGACTCTAGTGTCACATCATTGACCTCCATGGAATTAGGGCTAGATTCTGCTCTCTGTGCACCAAGATAAGTGTGGATTCATCTCACTGATTTGAATGAGGTGATTCTGGATTTACACAGCTATCACAGAGAGCAGAATCTGGGCAGAGATATTATGAATCACTGCCTTTCTCCTTCCCCCAGTAACTCTAGGAGTTCTGAAATCGTGGACACCTGGCGCGGGCCACATCTCCAACTGGGTAGGAGCCCAAAGGATACACTTAATTTGCATTAAATGGAACAGGTATGAAGGTATGGCCGAGGGTACTGCAGCTCCCAGCATATCTTGTTTCATCTTGATTCAAATGGAGGCCAGTTATTGTTGAGCATGGCATCCTGGGATCTGTAGTTTCCACGGCTCTGCTTTAAGAGAAGGCAGACAGTTACGATCCCAGTGAGTGGACACATAGGGAGGTCTCATCTGGGATGCAGTAAGATGTGGAGTGATGTTTGGGGATTGGACTTTTCCAATTCCCGATTGGGATTCTAGAAGGGGATGTTGTTCCCAAAGCATGATGGGGGGAGAACTCTGTGGGCGACCCCCCCCCACCACCACCCCTGTCCTGTGCACACACCACTCTTACAGGCAAACACATTCCTTAGGGTCAGAGTAGGAGAATTGGAGAAACTATGGGGACTTCATAGCAGTGGCAGGATAGAGCTGGGATCTACCTATTTCAGAAGCAGCATCGCTACCACTTGAGCTCCAGGAGAATTGCTCCTGGGTGTTTACAGTATGGGGGCTAAGACACACAGCTGATTGTCTTCTACTGGTTGAAATCAGAAGCAAGGGCACGTGTGTATGTACACGCACACCAGTGCAAGTTTCTTAAAGTATTAAAATGGGGTATCACAAGCAGGCAGTGGAGCTGGGGCTCTGGGAGATGGCTTTGTAACTAAACAGGGACGTTACTAACACAGAACCCAGGAGTCTGGTTACATTGTAAGCGACCTGCTGGTCTGTATTTGTCCTGTGTCAGACTCTCCAGTCATAGTCCCATGAGCCAGGCCTCTGTCTGCTGAATCCTCTCATTCGTTGTCTTGTGACCTGGCATTAGCCCAAACACACTGTAACTAGGGGATCTTTTTATAGCTTTCATTAGTGGAGGATCAGCTGAGTAACTCGGGTTCAGCCTGTTGACTGGAAGGATTCTGCTCTTCTCTGGCCCCTTTCAGCTGAGGGTCCCAGAGCATTTTACAAATAAGCTAAGACACATGCACCCCATCCAGGAGTTAGAGAAACAGTGGCCCCATTTTACAGAGTACAGCTGAGGGGCTTCCCCAGCATCGCATGTTAGGAGCAGAAGTAATAATAGAACCCAGGAGTCCTGACTCTCCCAGCCCTTCCGTTCTAACCCAGCAGACCCCACTGTCCTCTCAGAGCCAGGAACAGAACCCCTCTCCCATCACCATGCCCTGCCAATCCACTCGTCCCTGCTGCCTCCAGGCAGGTTTCTCTAATGTTCATTTCTGAAATTTTGACGCAAGGCCTGTTTTTTTTCTCTCTCTCCTGGAAGTCTTGTCACTTTGAGGTCTGGAGTCAGCCCTGGATGAACAGACAGAAGCTGGTGAAGCAGGAGTGTCGTCCAGCTGGTATGGCGGGTCTGCATGGGTGTCATCCCTTTAAAGGATCCTGACTAGAATGTAAACAAGAGCATTAAGTCTGGAATCAAAGCCACACCCCTCCACCACCTGCACACTTGGCATAGGGCCACTTACCGTGTATTTCCTGGGTGGAAGGAACTGGTTATGGAAGCTTTAATCCACTTCTGGCCATTAAAGAGTCATTTGGCACTTTCCCAAATAGCTGTCTGTTAATCCAATCTCCTGGCCAGGCTCCAGCTCGGCTGTTTCCACTCTGTTGACCTTAATTCCCCCCTTGTCCTCCCCTCCCCACCTGCTGTGTAGCATTGCTGTGCACTGTTGCAGAGCTGCCTTGTCTCATCCCAGAAGTGGCTGCATGTCAGCGATACCTGCATTGGTGAGACCACTCCTGGGATGCTGCATCAAGATTGGCAGACACACTGTGAAAAAGATGGTGACAGCTTTGGAAAGGGTTCAGAGAAGATCTACAATATTCATCTGTTCTACGGAACCATTGTGATCATCCGACCTCCTGCAGAACAGAGGCCATAGGCTGGCCCTGAATTAATTCCTGGCTGAACTAGAGCAGAGTTTTTAGAAAAACACCTCGTCTTGATTTAAACATTCCCAGTGGTGGAGAATCTACCCCAGCCCTTGGTCTGTTGTTCCGATGGTTAATTCCCCTCACGGGTAAAAATGTGATTCCCGTTTCCAGTCTGAATTTGTCCAGCTTCAGCTTCTGGTGTGAATGATTCCCGTTCTGGAAAACCTGTCTGGAGTGAGAGACTAAGGCCTGCTGTAGATCCCGTTTTGTCCTGGTATAGCTATGCCAGTTAGTGGTTCTCTATAACGTAGACAATGTTTCACTGTCATAGTGATATCCACCCAGCCCTAGTGTGGATGCAGTTTCCTGGGGTAAAGGTGCCTTTCCCAGAATAGCTTATTCCCCTTACTGTACAGGCATACGCGTATCTATCCCAGTATAACTGCATGCACACAGAGGGGGTTGTACCACATTAACTAGACTGGTATAGTTCAAGCAATACAATTTTTGTGCATAGACTGAGCTCCTTAGAGCCTTAAAGATGAAGATGTGAGTTGAACTCAGGCTGTAAGTGTGTCCCCAGGGAGGAGAGTTTGGAGGGCAGAGGACTCAGTTCAGCAGAGAAAGGCAGATTGAGACCCAAAGGCTGAGAACTGAAGCCGGACAAGTTCAGGCTAGCAATGAGGTAACATTTTTAACAGGGAGGGGTTTAACTATTGGAACAACTGTCCAAGTGATGAAGAATCCAGCCTGTCCCTGCGAGTTTTTAGGGATTGGATGCATCTCTAAATCTATGCCCTAGCTCAGCCACCAGATATGGGCTGCAGGCAGGAAGGGCCGTGGGAGGTTCTCTGGCCTAGGCTATGCAGGAGGTCAGAGTGGATGATCACAATGGTTCCATCTGGCCTTCCAATCTGGGAATCTAGAAGAGTGAATGTGTCATCCAATGGCTACCAACAGGATAAGGGACCTGCTACTGCTGCTAGCCAAGGGAGATCTCCTTTAGCGCAAGCAGTAGAGGCTGTTGGGTGTGAAGAAGATGGGCATTGGCCCTCGTTCTCCCATGGCGTATGAGATCTATACAGTAACTGCACTGGGGCTAACTGCAGTACTCTCGGCTGCCTCCTCTTATGTTTAGAGCCATCAGAGAAGGTCCAAAACGTGGCATCCCTGGAGCCAGAGGAGCTGGCTCATGCCAAGACACCAGAAGAGCCAGTTAGCTTGGAGGCCCTTTCCCAGGTGGGTGGCTGGCTGCCTCGCTCCTCCTCCTCTCTAGCCCAGTTTGTCCTGTCTCTTGACGGGCCCCGGTCTCCCTTCTACCGATGATAACTCATGGCTCTATCCCAGAAGGGAGAGTGTGTGGGGCTGGAACTAGAACACATGAGGCCGCTTGCTCCCAGGGTCGGGCAGGGGGATGTGGCCTGGATTAGGGGAGTATGTCACGTGGGGCGGGGTGAGTCTCTGGGTTGCATTTCTCCAGTCCCCTCCCATGATACGCTGCTTCATATCTTCCCCCATGCCACCGCCCTGGCCTCTGGCTCCATCCCCTTGCCACTCTGCCCCTGTGCTGTGCCTCAGCGTGGCACCTCCTCTGGTCACCAGCCCTAAGGCCGACCTCCTGCAATGCTCCAGAGACAGACCTGCTACAGGAGGAGGCTGAGAATGGGTCTATAGCACCCCCTGCAGCCAGGCACTCGCCTGGCCTTGGCAGATGGCACGTCTTCCAGCATCAGTCACTGAGTTACCGCCTCCAGCCTTCCAGGTCTCTAAGCCGCTTGCCTCCCTGTCCCTAGAATGCCTCCGTCCAGCTGATCTCGCTGTTCAAAGACTTCCTGACCACCTACAAGAAGAGCTACAAGGATGAAAGAGGTGAGCCCCAGGTGCTGGCATATCTCTTGGGCCCCCATCCCACCACCTTTGCAGAATCCTGCGAGCCAGCTCCTGTCACCCTTTCAGCTCTTCCCACCTAAGAATCCTTTGCACTGGCTCCTGCAACACTTCAGGGAGCCCCCCGTATCTCGGACACGCTCCCTGTCTCACAATGACTCTGACTCCCTGGGTCTGTTTCCCTGTTTAGAAGCCGAGAGGCGTTTGCAGATCTTCGCGGAGAACCTGGAAAAGGCTCGGACGATCCAGGAGCTGGACCAGGGCACGGCCGAGTATGGAGTCACCAAGTTCAGCGACCTGACGGGTGAGAGGGGCGATGGGTTTGGGCTCGGTGTGCCCATGGAGTCGTGGCAGCACACCCTACAGGGAAGGGCTAGGAGCTCCCCGCTCTCTGCACGTGGGGCCAGGGCTGGAGTAGCTGGGAGCTTTCCCCACAGGTAGCGCTCCTGCCCCACTCTCTGCAGCGCCCCCTGCCAGGGGAGATCATAGACAAGTACCCTGTGTCTCCTGAGTCCTGGGCGTTTCTCCACAGCTGCTTTCTGTCTCATTTCAGAGGAGGAATTTCGCTCCCTGTACCTGAATCCGCTGCTGGCTAAACTCCCGGCCCGGCCCATGAAACCGGCTGCCATCCCCAGTGACCCGCCTCCTGCCGAATGGGACTGGCGGGAGCATGGAGCTGTCACTGATGTCAAGGACCAGGTGGGTTTCCATGGCTACATTAACCCGCCTCCCCTGACAGCAGCAGCTGCAGAGCTTAGGCCAGGGGTAGGCAAACTTTTTGGCCTGAGGGCCGCATCAGGTTTTGGAAATTGTATGGAGGGCCGGTTAGGGGAGGCTGTGCCTCCCCAAACAGCCAGGCATGGCCTGGCCCCTGCCCCCTATCCGACCCCCCCCTGCTTCTCGCCCCCTGACAGCACCCCCCCCCGGACCCCTGCCCCATCCAACCCCCCCTGTTCCCTGATGGCCCCCTCAGGACCCCTGCCCCATCCACCCCCTGCTCCCTGTCCCCTGACTGCTCCTGGAACCCCTGCCCCTGACTGGGATGTGGCCCGTGGGCTGTAGTTGGCCCACCTCTGGCTTAGGCCAACATAACCTGTTGTGGCACTCTGTCCCCCGCTAGTGGCTAGATCAGGTATAGTGGCTGAGGCTGCTAATGCCTCTGAGCTAATGTACCTGGTTTAGCACAAGCTGTAGAGGCTCAGGGAGGTAGATCCAGAGGTTGCGGGTTTGATCCCTGCGTGCGACCCTTCCAGGGATGTCATGCCACCAGTGCTAATATAGCTGTCGCTGTCTCATCCCAAAGAGCACAGGCAATGCCCTCTGCTGTGAGAGGCCAGGACTGGAGTAGCTGGGAGTTTCCTTGCAGCCAGCATTCCCGCACCATTTCCTGATGGGGTTTGGGAGAGTCTGAGGGTTTGGGACACTGACATGTCACTCGTGGGCCATCATCTGTCTGGCCTTGTGTTTCCAGGGTATGTGCGGCTCCTGCTGGGCTTTCTCTGTCACCGGCAATGTGGAAGGACAGTGGTTCCTGCGCCGGGGGTCTCTTGTCTCGCTGTCGGAGCAGGGTATGTGGCTGGCACTTGTGGCGTAGGAGCCAGGACTGGGCTGTGACAGGAATAAGAGGGATCCCTTATCCAGGACCCTGTGGCTCTCCCAGCCTGCACTGCCCAATCTTGCCACACGGGGAGCTCCCTGAGTCCTGGGCTGTTTAGCCAGGAGCGGGAGTGCATGGCATGGCTGGTGCCCCAGAGAGCCTGACGGATTCCCAGGCTCCCTGGACCTAGCTGGTTTCCCTGAGACGATGGCTCTTCAGAAATCCCTGTTAAGAGTCGATCCCTGCACTAGAGTGAAGAACCCAAACTTGCTTTGAGGAGAAGGGGGGTTGGTTGCTGGGTTCCCCCTCCCACTCCTTATTTGAGGTGGGGGTCAGGAGGTGGGAGCTAATCCCCCTTCAGTGCCCTGATCTCCCCAGAGATGTTTGCAGCTTCCACTCTGATTTCAGCACTGTCAGCAAACCTGACCAGGCCTGGGTTGGTGGTAGAGCCAGGCAGCCCCTGTCAAGACCAGGGCACCCTGTCGTGTTGAGCTCTACACAAGACCCTGACTGAGGTCGCCCCATGCCCCCGGTGCTGGACAGACACCATGAGACAGTCCCTGCCCTGCAGAGCTTCCATTCTAACTAGACCAGGGGTCGGGGAGAAAATGTGCACAGAAGGGGGAAGGAGCTTGCCCCAGGTCAGTGTCAGGACTGGGAATAGAACCCAGGTGTCCTAGTCCAGTGGCCCACACTACCTGCTGAACACCTGTGGCGGAGAGATGTGGAGCAGCCAACCGGGGATGGGGACAGCTTTGAGGCCAGCAAAGCTTTGGGAGACCCTAACGGAGCCTCAGGAGTGGCTCCAGCTGGCCACGAGCATCCCAGCTGGGAGGCTGTTCATCGGGGGATGGGAGCCTGAGAGCCTCAGGTCAGTAAGAGCCAGTCTCTCTCCCTGCAGAGCTGGTGGATTGTGATGGACTGGACCATGCCTGCGGAGGAGGGCTGCCTTCCAATGCGTACGAGGCCATTGAGCAGCTAGGTGAGCTCAGGACCATCCAGGCCCAATGCAGGGAGGTCAAGGCCTCACCCTGACTGGGGCAAGCAGGTGAAGCTCCAGGGTTGGGCAGTTAAGGAAGATCCTCAGCTATTACTAGCTGAGGTAAAATAGAATAGCAGGGGCTGTGGGTAGGGATTGAGGGGCATTGGCAGGGCTGTATGCAGGGGAAACCTAGGGCTGGGGTAGCAGGGGGCTGCGGGTCGGGATTGGGGTCAGTGGC